TGGTTTTGAACAAACTTCTAAACGGTGACCACAGACATCAAGGATGAGGGTGATCAGCTTACCAAGAAGAGACTAACGGAAAACCTCCCTATGTGCGGAGGCACAAGTTATCTCAAAGTTCCTGGATGGGAAGAAGAGCCAGAGAGAGGATGGTGGTTTTACATTCTTGAGCAGGCAAGAGAAAACTGGAAGCAGCAATGCAGGAGACAGGAATGACTTTGGGGACCAGAAGCAGAGGACTTGAGTTCTAAAGATAATTCTCTCCCTCTTGATTGGATCCTGAGCAAAGTCCTGGACTTACCTCTTGGCTCACAACATCCACGCTAGTAAACTAGAGAAAATATTTGCCTCCTTCCTAAGGATAAAAAAAAAAAATTACAATGGTGCTGAGTAATTTGGTCCCATTTTGGGAAGGAAACAGGTCTGTGCTGCATACAGTGGAAAACTCCTTCAAGCTTCTTCCCTGCTTTGTGATAAGCGTGGAAGCTTGGGACCACCTGCAATGTCTTCCTGGGTTCTTCCTTTCCCCTATCTTTTTCTTCTTCCTCCTCCACCCCACTTCCATAACTTTAAAAAATGTTTCTTTTCAGAAAAAGTTATAAAATTATTACCTACTCATGGCAAATATTTAAGTAGTATAACAGGGTATACAATGAAAAAGCAGGGTTCCCTTCCACCACGAGTGTCCTTTCCCTCCAAGACACTTCCTATTACTAGTTTCTTCTGTATACTTAGATTTCAATACACACATCATCAGCCTGACTCTCCCTCTGCCCGCTCTCCCTCTCTCTCCAAATTGGAGTAACACCTGTTCTATTTTTTCTTTTCTCTCAACAGTATATCTTGTGAACCTTCCCAAACCAGCCCAGATAAAACTACCTCACTCTTTTTCACAGCTGTATGGTACTCCATCGTTGGATATGCCAAGATTTGCTCACCAGTCCCTAAGGCACTGGTTTTTATGGCACTAAATCTGTTACGAGTAAAAGGCATTTCCCTCGTTACTCATCGCCAAAGCATATGTTTATGGGGCCTGCCGTGTGCTGACACGGTGGTAGGTGTTGAGACGTGGAGAGAGGTAGGAACTCTGAGTCCCGTGGAGGAGGTGGTATTTAGGAGATATTAAAGGGCTATGACAGATTGTGTGTACATAGGGTTATGGGGGCCCTTCCTGGTACTCTGTGCTGCTCCTGGCTTCAATTTCTTTGCCAAGGAGGAAAGGAAAAACAGCTGCCCTCCTGAAAGTGGCCCTAGCTAAGGATATTTGTAGTCAGGGAGGGAATCCTGTGAGAAGGAAGTAAAATTTAAAAACCCTGGCTCAGCGATATTACAAATAGAGCATAGGGTACTTACGATACCTGTAAAATCTGAGGGAACAGGGTTTATCTAACAAAGGCAGTAGGTTCATAAAGAATGGGAGAGAAGAGGCCAGGGAAAGATGACCAAAGACACAATTCATCTACTTTCAAATATTTTGTCTTCCTCAGGGCTGACCCTGACCCAGCCTCCCATTCCTCTCCCATGCCTTAGCACGGTCACCTTCCTGACATTTCTGAAGGGGCTTCCTCTCCCATTCCCTTTGCCTTGCTGTCATTTGGATCAGAGAGGATGCCCCTAGGGCCTCCTACATAGGCCTCTGTGAGGACAAGCTCAGGGTTCAAAGTGGCAGCAGATCCTGCCCTGGAGGTGCTGTACTTCATGCATGATTGAGTGTGAAGGCAGTCACCAAAACTATTTCATCTCCCAGGAAAAACCAGGGCAGGGTGCCAGAAAGGGATGGAGCAGGAAAACACTCTAAGGACTGGGAATGCTGAGGAGAAGGCCAGGACAGGGGGCGGGTCTCATCTTCCATTATTGTGTAAACAGACAGAGGCAGGACAGACAGATGGCACCAGAGCTTCCGCAGGGAGAGGCTCAGACTTAACACTGTTCGTTCTGGCCTGGATCCACAGGGGAATAGTCACTGGGCCTTGATACACCCAGAAAGTGGGTCTTCTTGGTGGCGAGGGGAGAGAAGGGTGGGGAGGACATATAATAATTATTTAAATGTGTTCTTTACCTCTCAAAGCTAAAGACTGTTTACTCTGCAGCCTCACAGCAGGCCGAGGCTCCGCTATTTCTGGGCACGAGCTAGTGGAACTAAGAGACATTATCACTGAACCGTGAGCTCCTGGCCCGTCTCTTCGCCCAGTCACCCAGGTTCACAGCATCTTTGACAGCTCCATCGCTTTCCGCATACACCAACCTGTCAATGAGCTGCACCGGGTCTCCTTCTGGTTCCTGACTTCCTTCCATCTCTCCCCTGTTCGCACTGGCGCCCCTCTGCCTCCCACCTGCCCTCACGTCCCAAGGAACCCATCTGCCTCCAGCCACCCCCATTCTCCTGCTGTACCTCTAGCCCAAGTGGATCAAGTCATTGGATCCTTCCGCAAAACACGTCTTTCCCCCATGCCTTCGGCGCTCAGAGCTCCCTGCTGCCTTCTGTGTTCAGCACGGCCCCTCTCTCCGACTCCGAAGGGCAAAGGCTACGTCTTCCTCAGTGCCCGGCAAGGAGTAAGTGCTCAGGTCACGAAGGAGCTGCAGTGGAGGGGGACGGCTGGGAAAGCTGACCTTTTCGGACAGTAGATGATGACGTTTGTCCACTCACCCTGATTCGGTGGTGAGGACAGGCAGTCAAGTGGAGCTCCACAGGCAGTGAGAATAGGGTGCCGGAACGGAAGATCTTTGTGAGGGAGGGAGTCAGGGTGCTGGAGAACGGCAGGGCAGTTGTGACAACTAGAATGGGAAGAGTTAGCTTTAGGGAGGAGACAGGCTGAGGTGAAGGTGGGGCAGCCGAAGCTAAGTGGTCTCTGTGGAATGGCACCTACAGGGGACAAAAGGAAGAGAAAGCACATGTGTAGAGAGAGAATGGACCATCTGGAACAATTTCGTGTGAATCGTGCACGGGAGGCGATGAGGAATGAAGGAAAGGTCCAATCTGTGCAATTCTAATGTCTTTTTCTGATAGCCTTCCTCAGCCAGGGTGCAAGAGGGGAAGAAGACTGTCCTGGGGTACTCCAGAGCAGAAGAGAGAGAAGTTGGAAGTCTCTCTCGGGAAAAGATGGCCCCTTCACTCCCGGCAGCTGGCCGGTGCTCACCATTATTATGATTCCTATTTTACAGAGGAGGGACCCAAAGGCCATCTAGGCTGAGATTTACCTTTTGTGGAACAGTACCGTGTCAGAGCCAGGATTTAACCCAGGTCCTTAGGACTCCCACTCTCCAGGCACCCACACCAAAGAATGCGGTTCCAAGAGGGTCCCACGGTGGTTGGGAAAGAATAGGTATTAGGGTGTAGAAAGAAGGCCAGGAGCGGTGGGGTCAATAGTTCATGTGACTTTGGAATGGTGTTAAAAAGCCACGTTGAGCCAGCGTGGAGAACAGCCTGGGTGGAGACAAGAGCCTTAGCCAAGGACTGAAGTCACCCCATTGCCTCTCGAAGCCTTTGGTCCCCTTCCCAGTGCCCTCCTCCCTTTGGTCTGCCCTGCCCCATCCTCTGAGCCACACCTTACTTTTGTGTAGCCCCTCGTTTAGACGGCGCTTATATATTAGTTTACAAAGACCAAATGGAACCTGGGATGCAGCAGATTCTGTGTTCATCTGGAAAAAAGAAATTAAAAAGCCAACCGATGTAGGCCGTGCCACCCCGGCATTCAGGCAGGAGATGAAATTCTCACGCTGGCCCAAGAACCACCAGCCTGGCTTTGCTGCCCTGAACAGCAAGCAGCCAGCTCACCAGCTAGCTCACCAGAGCAGGCTGGGTGCTCTCGGAAGCGCACCCCACTCTCCTTGCAATAGCCGCCCTGACGTCTAGGTGGCACCAAAACCTCACACTGATTCTTCCCAGGTTGGTGTACCGCCCACACGCGGGGACAGAGTTGTTCTACTCGAGTTCCTCTGGATGCCTGCTCAGCCCAGATGGATGCGAGCTCTGCTTTCTGGGTTTCAATCCTCCAAGCACAAGGGGGCTGCGAACTTGTCATTGCTATTTCCTTTCTGCCTTCTACTTTGCTAGGTCCCCGCCTCCTCCGGGAACACGTAGGTGGGCAGCCTTGTCCCTCTCTCAGCTTCAGGGATATCCCAAAGCACGTACTGCATCTGTTCTTTTCAAACGTGTTAAAAACAAAACAAAACAAAACAAACAATCAACAACAAAAAACCTGAAAAAGTAATATAACACATTTCTTTGTAAACTTAAGTGTTTTTTTCTTTTTAAATAATCAGAGTTATATAGTCACATGGTTCAGAACAAGAGGTCCTGTTGAACCTCTTTGGGTAATTAAAATACTGTAGTAACTCATCCACTCACCCAAAACCACAGGCATGTACGTTTTTGCAGATCACCACCCATATGACTGTTCTGTGACTGCTTTGAACTGCGGCTGATTCACAAAGTCGGAGAGAATTCTTTCTTTTTTCTTTTCTTTCTTTCTGCAAGTACTCACTGTGAGCTACTAGGCTGGGCGCTGCCCTGCACTGTTGGAGGCACTAAACATGGAGAGGAATTAGACAGGGTCCCCCCGGCTGAGCTCACACCCCAGTGGTAGAGCCAGATACACTCAGGGAATGCCAGGTGCTGTTAAATCCTGGGAAGAAAAATAGGGCAGGATTTGGGATGGGAGTGACGGGGAGGTGTCAGCGTTCAAGACAGGTAGCTCTGAGGAAGTGACATGGAGAAGAAATCTAAATAAAATTTTGGGAGCAATTGGTAGGGGAGGAACTCTACCTGTCAGGTGCGGAGCAGCCACCATCCCCTGAAAGGTTAAGAAGCAAGAAAGTTGGGTGTTCTTGGCTCTGCTGGCCTGCGGCCAGCCCCTCGCCACCCCGAGCTCCCTCTTTCTAGAGCACTGTCCCTCCTCGAGAGTGTGCGTGTATGTGTCACCTCCCCAGCGCTCAGCCCCCGCCCCCCTTTCCACTTAACGCCCCCATGCCCCTTGAGCGCGCACAGGCGGCCACCCCCCACCGCGGGAGGAACGCCGAGCTGCGGCCGCCGGGAAACGTAAAGTTTATGCCGCCCAAAGTGACGCAAAAATTCTTAAAGAGCTCTTTGGCGGCGGATATCTAGAGATCAGACCATGTGAGGGGCCGAGAGTACAAATACGGGCGCTCGGGCGCAGCTCCCGCACAGGCAGCGGCCGCCCCGGGTGCCTCGAGGGCGGGAGGGTCGCCCCGCCTCCGCGAGCCCCGGGACCAGCCTCCCCACGGACTCCCGACAGGTGCGTCCGCTTTCATTCTTGCTTCTAATCTGCACTTCTTTCCAGAACTTCGTCCCTCTTGTCTCCCAGGCGCCGGCGAGGGTGCGCCTATGCGAGGGGCTCCTGGCTCTGCGGCTGCCCTCTCGGGAAGAGCGAGTGTGGACCGCAGTGGGGCCGGAGGGAAAGGTAACCGCGGAGTGGACGAGCGGGCTCTGGAAGGCTCCTTTGTCTGTTGCATGCACGGGCTTTGTGGTGTCCCGAGTACCGGAGGAAGACCCGGTAAAGACGGTCTTAAGCAAAGTGCTGTCCTGCGCTTTGGGAAAAAGTTGCTTCGGTTTCATAGTTTATGTTTAACTGCCGCGGCGTGCAGGTGCCTTTATGCAAAGGTATTTTTCTGCAGGAAGGGTTCTGGTTGACATAAATGCCTAACTATATAGAGAAATCTATGAATGACACTTGAGTGAGGGCGAGTCTCCAGTGCGCTTGGGTTACTTTCTCTGGCAGAGCCGCCGCACACTCAGCTCACAGGCCATTCAAAATTTATGTGAAGCCCAAACTCCAGCCAGCTCTTTCACACAGCTGAAGTGTGTGACTATCAGTTGCTTGAAAAATGTGTACAAATTTGTTATTTGAAAAAGCTCTCTGGAGCTAAAGAACACTACGGAGTACATTCACTTTTGCACTGGGCCTTTTGCATAATGAATTTCTTTTTCAGTCGGGGTTCTAAGAATTTGAGAGGGGTAGAACTCTTGAGTCAGAAATAACAAAGGCTTGTGTGTATGTATTTTTATGATCAGTTTTGTCCAGAAAAAAAAAAATGAACCAGGTCAATGGATTATTTATGAGCCTGCTAGCTCTCATTGTAGTAAGAGGAGATCAAATGTTTTAATGTGTTTTGCCTTCAGTTACACAAGAAAAATGTCTAAGAAAGTAGCGTTGGACTTTGTGTTTTATGAAGTGGAGGGGCATTGTGGGCAGCATTACTGTTTGGGTTTCTAGGAGTGGAGTTAAAAACACAGCTTTGATTCTTTGTCCTATTACTTGTTTTTGTGTGGAGCCGCTGATGCCCAAAGGTTCGAGTTTTCCTCGAACAGACTGGGGTGGGGTGGCTGCTTCCAGCATGGGTAAGAAGCAGGTTCTTATGGAGCTTGTGCAAACTAAGCAAGCCATTTGGGGCAAGAGGGTTTTTTTCCCCTGCCACTGAGCCTGAATAAGAGCAGATTGAGACTGCTTCACAATTAATCAAAAGTCCCCCCAAGACTCTGGTGATCCATCTAGGACACTTCAGAGACAATTCCAGCAAAGATATTCAAACCCATTTATTTCAGTCTCCTTGCTTAAGACATACATATACTAGGAGTAGGGGGTAGGGTGGGAGTGGGGATGGAATCACATCGAAGTTTTAATGGAATCAGCAAAACCTCAGAAATTCCTGTTTGGGGATTTTTAGAGTTGTCTGAGCATTTTGATGAAAGTCAGAGGGGCATGTCAAAGAGTTTCACCAATGAGTGAGATGACAGTGGAATGGGGTACTCGGCTGGAAGGGGTTGTCTCAGACAGAAGGCTTACGAAAACACCGTGGATGACACCCTTCAAAGAAGAGCATGGGTAATTCCAGAAATTAAGCCAGTAAGTGGCAGTTTCTTCTCCTTCATACTCGTTGAACTGCGTATGTTGAGAAAACAAAGGCAGAGCTGCCTGAAGAAGTTTAATTTTAATTTGGCTTAATGAATCAACAGGATATGGTCATGACTTAACTTTTTTAAATAAAGATGCCTGGATGGTCAGAGGAAAAATCATGCAGTCATTTTTCTGTAGGTTTGAGAAAGTACCTTGGACCTTAGTTATTCCATCGCAGATCAGATCCTCTGGGTCTCTTGGTCCTCAGTCTAAGTGAGGGAGAGCAGGGGGTCCCACATAACATGATGTCCAAGTCCTCTCAGACTCATTCTGTGACTGTGACCTTAACTTTTTTGCTTTAAGCAAACACAAGTTGAAATGATGGGGCAAAATGCCTGCTTTCTACCCAGATGTTGCTGTCAAATCAGGGTCCTCTGGGGACTTCTTGGATTTCACTATAAGGTGGAGCCTTTGCAGACTCTGACACACGCAAGTCGCAAGTCGAGTCCTGCACCTCAGCCACTTCAACCCAACGGCCCGAGTTCCCAATTCCCCAGGTCCCTTTTGCAACCTGCCCAGAACGTGGTGCGGTAGAAATGGCTTCCAGGCAGTACAGATTTGGGCTGTGCGGTTTTCTTCCCAGTCACTGAGCTTTGCCAGTTGTCTCCACAACCCTGAGGTCTGTGCATGGAACGGGCTGGCGTGTGGAGTCAAAGATCTGATAAAAAGCCTTGTTTCTCCATTCCTGGGGCTAGTGATGCTGACTCATCCTGCTTTCGTGGGTCTAGGCACTGCTGCCCCAACCCTGGACCAAGGTTGCGTGTCACTTTCTGGGTTTCATTGGACAAAATAGCACACTAAGGAAAGAAAACTGTCATCTTTCTAGGAAAGACCCAGGTGGAACATAGATAAAACTAGCCTTTAAAAGAAACCTGGCATAAGTGATGTTCCCTGGGCGGAGGGGTGAACTGCTTTTCTAGGGTGGGCCCGAGACCCGCCCTCCCACATTGGCCAACACAGACCCCTTATTTCTAGGCAGAGCTCATCGTACTGACTTGGGTCCACCTTCAGAAATGGTCTCTGAGTAATGTCTCTGTGAAGGGGGCATTCCCTCCAACCTGGCCTTTGTCAGCTCGCAGTGACTGGGAAGATGAATGCTCATTTTTTGAATGTCAGCCGCACGTTTTTAAACCAAATGAGTGTTTTCTCAGCCTTATGTCTAAAGGGGTGACAGAATAAGTAGAGATAAGGTGAGTATGACTGCATTATTTTCTTATTTCCTTTGGCTCTCCCGGAAACTGACAACAGCTCCCTCGCTGCCACCCTAACCCTGGACCAAGGGTACTTACTTGTTAGCGGGTATTTAAACCATAGGCTTGTAAAAAGCCAGGACCAAATAGCCCTCCATTGACCTCAGAAACCCCTGGACTGAAGAGCAAGAGATGAACCCCAGTGATGTGGAGACATGGAGGTGATAACCCAGGGCTAACTCGGCGGCCGGGGTCCCCAGGCAGTGAGAAGTGGCAGATGGCATGAAGAAGGTCTCCTGGGATCCGAGGTCTGGATCTTTGTATAATAATTTGAGGTAGGGAGGAAAGAGGTGAGAGGGAGGTTGTGACAAGGCCAAGTGACAGATCTAGAAGAGCCAGTTGTGTGCTGTGGGAGAATCCAGAGCTGGAGGCTGGTAGGTAGGCTCTGTGGGAAGGAGCAAGCCAGTGGACCTTTGCCTTGTGTTTTTGTGTTGTCTTTCTGGGCATATTCAAGGAAAAAGACATTCTGTTTCCTTTGTTACTGAGCTGCTGAATGAAAATAGAATAAACTGAATCTCTTCCTTTAATTGAGGGGCTCCGGAGACTAGGGAGAGGCAGAGTTGGAAGGGATCTGCTCCAAGAGTCCTCCATGGCTTGCTCAAGCTCGCTCACAGCCTGTAAGGACACAGCCAGGCCTGGAACCTGAATCTCCTGCACTCTGTTCTTTTCTCTCCCCTGGGTGTGTTGTTTAAATCCTAAT